CTTCCAGAGGAGGTGAGTCCTCATCTTGTCCCATCTCCCAGTAGATGCCTTCCCACTTGTTCTTCCTCCTCTAACCTGGGGCTGTGACTCCTGGGGACTTAGGGGAGCCTCTATGCCCTCTGTTTTTTCTTCACAAGAAGACAGTGGCTCCATTTGCTGGTGAAGGACAGGATACTTCCCTACCCATCTCTTCCCAGGTTACCCAGGCTGCAGCTCAGACAGTCCTGGGCCACCTCCCTGGGATCAGCTGTTCCATCCTGCCTACCCCGGCAGCGACTTGTGTTCCTGAAGACACATAAATCCGGGAGCAGCTCTGTGCTGAGCCTGCTTCATCGCTACGGGGACCGGCATGGGTTGCGCTTCGCCCTCCCCACCCGCTACCAGTTCGGCTACCCAAGGCTTTTCCGGGCCTCTCAGGTCAAAGGCTACCATCCTCAGGGTGGGGGCACCCAGCCCCCCTTCCATATCCTCTGTCATCACATGAGATTCAACCTGAAAGAGGTGAGGGGTTCAGGGGAGTGAGGGGGTGGGGCCAAAAAGAGATGTATTTAGGGTTGTGGCCAAGACCTCCAGGGGAGGGTCTGGGGATCTCCAGGCATCACCTTACCCACAAGTGGACATGGAGGCCACAAAGGTGGGATTTCCTGTTCTTCTCTGCAGGTGTCCTTTCCCCTGGATTTTATGGGTGCCAGAGTGTTCCCCTCTCCCATCTGGGGGTTTACTTCAGTCTCCTCCCTTGACTAACTTATTCCCCTGGTGTCAGTGTCCTGCCAACTTGGATGCACTTGGATGCACTCCCTCCAGGTGTCCCTTGCCCTTCACAGTGTTCACTATTATTACCAGGGACCTTGCTCTGCCATTAGGACCTTCTGACTCATCTTTCTTTCACTCCCCTCACACCAGCTGCCACACTTTGAGATTTTTATGTCAGCTCTATGTCAAGCTCTTGGCTGAGCATGGCATAATAGTTGGACAGAAGTTCAGTGCTGAACCTTGGGACTTTAGTCCTTATAGGGGAGACAAATGGAAACACACAAGGACCCAAGAACTCTTGTAGAAAGACAATCAACATGCAAATGAAAGCATATAGGGAAGGAACTATCCTTCATAGAATACTTTTTAAAAAAATATTTTAGTTTTAGGTGGACACGATATCTTTATTTTATTTTTATGTGGTGCTGAGAATCGAACCCAGTGCCTCACGCATGCTAGGCAAGTGCGCTAACACTTGAGCCACATTCCCAGCCCCCCTTCATAGAATACTTACTGAGTTCAAACTAGAATTTGAACTCAGGTCTTTTTACTCTGAGGTAGAGGCTCCTTCTGAGGACCTGGATGTGTTTTTGTATTTGGAATTGTAGGGAGTCTATTTATCAAATGGAGTGGGGTTTGTTAGAGAAGCAGGATTAAAGGATGGAGTGGACATGGCTTTGAGACAGTAGCGAGTGCACCCACCACTCTTGGAGCAGAGGATCAACAAACATGTGGCTGTTGATGTGCGTGTGAGCATGCACACAGCTGTGCCAGAGAGGTATGTGTAGAGTGTGTGGATGGCAGAACTTCAGTGGGGGTTACAAAGTCCCTTTGTTGAAGCTGGAGGAGTGTGAGGGTGATCTGGTAGGCAGCAAGGGGCTCCTGTTGGGTGTGAGGCAATGGCAGTGAATTTGGAGGTAAGTTTCTTTAGTGGTTAGGATGGTTCCTTGTCACCACCATTCATCCAATACCTGCCATGTTACAGACATGTCCACATTCTCCCAGGTAGCTATTTAACCCAGATTTATAGGTAGAGAAATAAAGGCTGTTGAGAAGCTTATTCATCTGCCCCAAAGTCATACAATTAGTAAATGGCAGAACTGGGATTTTATTCCAGGTCCATCTGATGCCAGAGTGTTCTCTTCACTGTTCCCTTCTGCCTTCAAAGAGACAGTTCAAAGAGACAAAGGCTCTGCCCTTCAGGCATGCCTCTGGAGCAGGTCAGAGAACATCAAGACACAGAGAGGTCAGATTCAACGATGAAAGTCCTTTTCAGAGACAGAAATCCTCAGAGAGTTCAGGAGCTAGATTCTGATGTGGATCAGCCTGAAGAGCTATGTAAGGGTATGATCCAGCCTGATTTCCACTGTCCTTGTCCAGACGTGGAATCATGTGTCCCAGCCCTTGGGGCAACACCTTACCAAGGGGCCAGGGCTCCCCAGGGTCCAAGTCCAGGGCTGTGTTTTGCTCTCCAAGGTGTCCAGGAGACTCTAAAGTGTTGCTACCCTGGGCTGCCCTACAGCATCATCTCTATCACCCCTTTTCATTTTCTACTCTCAGACACATCCCACCTCCCTCCTGGGGCGGCCTAAGACCAATCCCTTTCTTGGAACTGAGACCTAGAGTCCCAGAGGAGGCACTCAATAGATTTTTGTTGAAGAAGTGAGCACAAAGTTTGTTTCCTAGAGACTTTACCGCCAGGGCAGTCAGAAAGCCCCAAGGAAATTAATACTCTATGAACTTTGCATACTCCAGTTCTTTTTCTTTCATATATATAT